AGGTCTCTGCGTCCCTTCCGCACCTTCTCCTCAGCCTCCTCCTCCCACCAACCCTCGGCTGGCTGCGGGGCAGGGGCTCCACAGCTGTGTTTTGATCCTACCAGAGGGCATCACTCGCCAGACCGGAGCGCCGGGTGCCCCTTCCCAGCAAGGAGCCTGTGCCTGCCTTGGGGTCCCAGCTGCCAGGCCATGAGTGGATGCAGAGGCTCAGATGAAAGGGGGAGACCTCCCCTGTGGCTTCTGCTCTCTGGCTCTGCCTCAAGTCCTGGGCCTTCTAGTCCATGAAACAGCCTACTTCTAAGCTCTCCCATTTCTGGGCATAAAAGGGCCAGACAGTGCTGCTCTGCCCAGCTGGACAGAGTCCCCTCAGGAGAAGCTATATAGCCAGCTCCAAAAGGCTTTGATGTGGCTCTCCTCCCCTCTCCTTGACTATATTCTTCTTTCTTCTCAAAATCCTATCTCTCCTTCCCAACCAGGCCCTCCCGCTTCCACAAAGCCCAAGTTCAGCTCCCAAAGGTAGGGGGCTCTGCTTTTCTCTGCTTCTGTTCCTTTGCTTATGAAATGGGGACATCTCACCCTGTCTGCCTCAGCTTGGTTGGAAATACAGCGAGACTGTGGGTAAGATGGGAGCTCTGGATGGGCCCGGCACTGCCCTAGTGCCCCGTGGTTATTCCCTCCCTTAGTCTTCACAGCAAACCTCTGAGATACATATCACTAGTATCTCCATTTTACAGGTGTGCACACAGATGCTTGGAAAAGCTACACAAAGACACGCAGAGAGCAAGTAGCAGAGGCAGATGACCTGGAACCCAGGTCATCAGGGCACAGTTTGTGTGCCTCGCCGACTGCCTCAAACACCCTTGAAGCGGCTTATAAATACAGAAAGGCTGTACAGACTCAAGAACAGTATTGTCATCCCAACTACTATAGTCTCTTCAGGCACACCTTCATGCCACCCTCCCCCTCCCCTGCTCCGTCTAAAAGCAGAAGGCTGCCAGGGTGCAGGGCTTAGAATTACTTAATCCCAGCTCTGGGACTCTGGCTCCACACCAGATCCCCTGGAACCTGGTGCTCCCCCACCCACAGCCCTTCCTGAACTCACTAGCTACCTCTGACCCAGGCATCTAGGAGCTGGTGTCAAAAAGAGGGCTGTAACATGAGAGAGAGGCCAGGAAGAGAGGGGCAAGCCTGGCCAGGGCCAGGAGATGGATGGGGCCTGCTCCTTGCTGGCTGGTCGGCATTGGACTGGCCTGGGAGCTGAGGATGGGAGCAGGGCAGTGATGTGCAGCTGCTCTCCAGGGGAAGCCAGCCTGATGCCTAATCAGATCACATGCCTCTGCCCAGAAAGCCACCTCCCATCCCTCTACCTCCCTCTGTCACTCACTGACCTCCCCACTTGCTTCCCAGCCCCACCCTCCCTGAGGGTCTCCAGCTGCCCCAGCTGATTTTATAAATGGCCCTTGCAGGAGGTGGGCACCTTGGCTAATTGAATCAGTGCCTAGGAGGCAGGAGGCAGGAGGCTGGTTAGCATCACGGCTGAAAGGTGGTGGCAGCAACAGCTTGAGTGCAGCCATTAGGGAGGAGTCTAAGTGAGCAGAGTGGCCCAGGCAATCTGGACCTCAGTGTATCCCGAGGTGTCAAGGTGGGAACTCACCAGCGAGCCCTGGATGCCCCCACTGGGAGCCCAGAGTAGACTTACAGGGTAGGCCACAGGCCAAAACACACACACACAGGTGAACACACACACACACCCCACTCATGCTCTTGAAAAAAGAAAATCCGAAGGAGGGCAAGAGTGAGAAGAGAAACAGGAAGAATGATATAGTGTGCTTGTGGGCACACCCATGCTCTTAGGTGACTCTGTGTACACATCTCTATGCTGGGCACCGCTCGTGGTACCATTCTTCCCTGCCCCGATGTCACCTCTGCATAATGATTAGCCAATAAAAGCAGTTTCTAAGGGTCCCGGTCACAGCAGAGCATCTCGTGGTATCAACAGCAGCCAGGTAGCAGACCTGGAGCCCCAAGGAGCTTTCCAGTAGCACTGCCACTTGGTCTTACGTTGCCCTGTCCCCTCAAGACCAGTCTGTTTCCTTCCCTATGACAGCGGGGCTGGCACAGAAACACTTCAAGGGAGGCTTTCCCCCTGTGTTTCTGTTTGAGATGGATCCCTAAGGCTCACCCAGTCACTAATCCATTCAGTCAACGTCTCCTGCATAGCCCCTCTGCATGTGGGCTCCACGAGGACAGGGGATGGGTCCGTGTTGCTCCCGCAGCTACCCAGCTCTTGGTGAGGCCGGGATGTGGCATGGACTAAGGGGCACTCATCCTAGGCGACACCGCGGTTGTGGCTGGTGCAGGCGTTCTCTGTAGGATGACCCACCCACCTGGTCATGTCTTCTGAGAGGGACACTGATGGCACTGATTAAGTTCTAGAACCTAGGTGAGGTTCGGTGGGCTGAGGTCCGGAGCCAATAACCAAGAAAGAATTCTTGAGACATCTTTGGTGCAAAATGGTGGTTTATTAAAGCACAGGGACAGGACCCGTGGGGCAGGAAGAGCTGTTGCCCCGGGTTGTGAGGAATAGCAGGTTAAGTACCCTGCGGTTGGGGGAAGGTGAGGGGAAGGAAGGTTTCAATGGAGTTTTCATATGCTAAAGAGGGCCTACAAGGTGCCAGGAGACCACTGTTGTCTTTTAGCAAGCCATTAACATCAAGATAGTTGGGAGATTCCTGTCTTGCAGGACTTTGATCTCTGCAAGTTAACTATTTGTTTCTTTTGGCAGTCAGGGGTGCCTGAGGAATGTCACACACATTACCGAGGGGAGCAGGTGGAGAGGGGGTGCAAGGAGCCAGCTTTTGCTTTGTCTTCAGCCAGCCTCCTGCTCCCTCATCAGCACCATCATTGTCCTTAGAAGCTGCCCCAAGGACTTTCATTACTCCTCCCAACTTCCCCAAATGCTCCACTTCCCCTGCCCTCCGCCTGCACACCACCTTTCCCTAGGGCCCCATCTACCACTTCCCTTTAGAGCAAGGAACAGAAGAACTCAGAAGTCCCTGGATCTCTGCAGAGGGGAAAGCGGGGAGAAGGGGGCAGTTTTCAGCTTAGGGTCCCACACCGCTGGGAGGCAGGGTACGCAGGGCTCCGGGTGGGATTTGAGCATCGGAAGAGGCAAGCTCGGACATGCCAAGTCTTCAGGTTAGCCTCCATTCTTTTAGCAAAGGCGTAAGTTCCCTCCTTCAGGACCAACCCCCCACACCTGGCCGCAGCTAAGCCCCCAGTGGCCTTTTCCACAGGCGAACACTGCCCCCTGCTGGGACCATCTGGGATAGCCACCTCAAGTGCTGCCCGAGGAAATCCGAAATGGGGCATACTTGCTGAGGAGTCCTCAACTCCTGCGGGGCTGGGGAGGGGAATGACTGAAGCCCTTAGAGGCCTTGGCCTCCCTTCCCCCGGTGTATTCTGAGGCTGGGACTGGACGGTGGCAACAGGGACAGCCCTTGGCACAGACAAAAGGGGCAGGGGCTCTGTCTCTAGCCTGCTCACCCGCCTGCCTCAACTTCCCGTAACAAGGGGCAAAGACATGGTTTGAGATAAAATGTCCATCATAACACACAGGAGAGGATCTGTCTCATTTCCCTCCTGAGCTCTGGAACCCTTTTCCAGCTATATTTAGGACTCTTCTAGCTGGATACAATAAAGCCATCTTAACTTCTACATGTCAAAAACCAAGCTCACCTTCTTCCCCAAACCTGGATCTTTCCAGAAATTCCATTCCTCAGTGTTCCATACCCAATATGACTCCAAGATCTGCAGACCTTATCTCAACACCTTTGGAGTCCATTCTTTTCTGAATTTCTCCTTCCATTGCAGCCTCAAACCATTCCTAACCCCATTCCCATTTTCCACGGGGCTGGTGGGGTTATTGCCCTAATGCACAGGTGTTCTGGGACTCTCTGCTCAAAAGCCTCATCATTCCTCCTTCCCCTCTAATCCCTCCTTCCACAACATGTTTGGAACCTGCCTTCCCAACTAGATGGCTGCATGTTCCCTCCACTCTGAAAGTGGAACTTTTTCCTGAGCACATCCATACCTCCACTCATGCTCACTTTTCTGCACACAATGCTCTCTTCACACATTCCTTTAGTCTTCATCAAATTCCTTCCCACCCTTGGAGATCCACCTTCCTGGTGAAGTCTTTCTGCATATGTCTTTTGGTGAACAGCTGTCTCCTCTGGCCCCAGGATCCTGACTCCCATCTTGTGGCACTAATGACCCCCTCTTGTATTGGGTACCTGTGTCCTTGTCCCGGCCCCCCTGGGCTGTTGGCATCTTGAGGCCAGGGCACTCTAGAGCCTGAAAATGCTCCATAATATTGGCTGAATTGGCTGGTAGCAGAAGTGTATTGACATGGCATGGTATAGCATTGACATTGACTAAAAGCAGGCTTTGATGAGAGGGGAGGCTGCGGGGCCTAGCGGCTGACCTGTAGGGAAGTAGAACACGGGGAGTCTATAGAGAATGACAAAGCAGGAAGCGTTCTCGGAACCTACATGGTAGGCAAAGAAGGCAAGTCTTAGGAAGGCAAGGGACCCATCGGGGCCACACAGCTCCATAGTCCCACTTCTAGAGCATAAGGGCCTCAGGAAGTGCCAACTCTTTCCCATCCCCCAAGACAGCTCTTCGAATATACGCCTTGCTTCCCCACTATTTTCCTGGCATTGACCCCAAGCTAGCAAAGGGTTAGTTAGAGATGCTTAAACATCTTTTCCAAAGTGCCCTGACTTTCACAGACCTGCTACTCTGCGGACAAATGCTTAGGACCCAGCCTAGGCTCAGAGAAGATTTTGCTGCTGGGACAGGAGGTAGCAATGGTGGCCTTCCCCAGGAGGGCTGTGGCTGTCCGATCCTCACCCCACAGCACTGATGCCACACAAAAATATTCCAGAAATGTTTAATGCCACAGAGAAGTCCAAAACCTGCGGAAAGCTACAAGCCGTCCTCCCGAGCACCTAGATCCAGGGCTATCCGCAGCAGGCAGGAGGCTTGCACAAGCCAAGGAACCAGGGCAATTTGCTGACATCCTTGCTGTCCTCTGCCCTAAATGCCCAAGGTTCCTTTAGGCCAGGGAAAGAAAGAAGAGGAAGTGGAAAGGGGTAGGCGGAGGGTGCGTCCCTTTTAGGCACTCTTCCTGCACTGGGATGGTGACTCATGCAGCAGGCCCTGGGAGGGACAATTCCTCAGACCAGACCAAGGCAGGCCAAGCCCAGGGTTCTGGAAGGAACAGAAGGAAGTTCCTGGAATGCAGCAACCAGGAGGAGTAACCAGCAGAAACTAGAAGGGAGGCCTGACACCAGCCTCCCCCTCCTCCTCACCGGCCTCTGACCCCACCCCCAGTAGGGACTGGTAGTCTTCAGCACCCACAGGCTTCAGCACCTGTATTTGATAGTCCATGCCTTCTCCTCCCCCATCACTTTGGGCCTTTCTTAAGTATGACGTTGTCATACTCAGTTCCCTGTGGCCAGCCAGCGGCAGGGAGGTCCTGCCCTCTCTGGAGGCCGCCGCGGTCCCTGTCAGCTGTGGCCTGCCTCCTCCAGGCCTCTCCCTGGGGCTCCTGTGGGCTGTCATACAGGGACAGGGCAGCCACTCCCTCAGGCTCATCGTATATGTGGTCGGGTCGTGGGGGTGGGTGCTCCTCAATGCTGTCATACAGGGGGTCCGCAGGGGCGTGGGGAGGGACCGCCAAGACGCCCCTCAAGCTCTTCCCCAGGTTACGGGCCACTGCATCAAAGGGCACGGCGTATTCCCCCTCCGGGCCCCGCGGCCGGGCAGAGGGCACTGGAGTGGAGGGCGAGGGAGGTGGCAGGGAGTCATGGGGCCGGGAGTAGGGGCTTTCTGGCCGTGGCAGCACTGCAGGGACTGTGGCTGGCTGGGATTGCGGCCCAGGATGCGCGCTGTTCTTCTGGGCAGAAATGGCTTCCTCCAGGGCCGAGAAGATCTCGTTGCCTTGCCGGGTTTCGAACTCAAAGTTGCCCTCTCCAGAGATGCAGCGCCGGCCTGCCTCGAAGGAAAAGGTTACCTGGGTGGAGGGAAAAGAGAGATTATTAGCCAGGCCACAGGGTGGGGTCGCTTCCCCTACACCCAGCTCCCAGGCACAAACCCATCACCTCCAGCTTCCCTACACAGGAACTGGGGGAGCTTCTCCCCAAGCTGGTTCTCCTCCCTCGGGGGTTTTTTCCTTAATTAGCAAAGCCCTCAGGGGCCTGAGTGGCTCAGTCATTAAGCCTTCAGCTCAGGTCATGATCCCAGGGTCCTGGGATTGAGCCCCCGCATCAGGCTCCCTTCTCTGTGGGAAGCCTACTTCTCCCTCTCCCACTCCCCCTGCTTGTGTTTCCTCTCTCGCTGTCTCTGTCTGTGTCAAATAAATAAATAAAATCTAAAAAAAAAAAAAAAGCAAAGCCCTCGCTCTTACCCTTCCTTCTTCTTCCCATCCATCCAAGTACGGAGCTTGGCATATATATTCAACCTTAATAATGTTAGCCACCCTTGACCCCTCTGACCGATACCTCTTCCTGTTGCCCAGTCCTTCCAAGGCCCTCCTCTCTCCCACCCTGCACTCCCCCTCACCCCTGCTGTTTTTCTTCTGCTGGCTTATCTCTCTGTCTTTCCTTCCTCTTCCCATTCTCCTTGGTGGGCCCCTCTGCACTCTCCCTGAGGATCAATCTCTTCTCTCACAGCTCTTTTCTTTGAACCTGCCCTCTGGCAGCTCCTGCTCACCTTGTCTCGCCCAAAGCGCCTCAGAAACCTGTAGGGCCACTCATACAGCTTGCTGCCCAACTCATGGCCACCCCACAGCTCCAGGGCTGTCTCCCCAGCCCGGAGGGTGTAGGATCCTCGGAGCCGGCACCTCTCACTGGCTTCTGTGGGTCTCATGGTCACAACAAACTCCTTGCGCGGGGCTACTGGGGAGGAAAGGGGAGAAGGTGGTTAATGGGAAAGAGCTGGCCTGCCTCAGCTCTGCCTTGCTAAATGAGTGTGCCAGAAGTCTCCAGAAAAAGCGTGAGCCATGTGCCCATGACCCCACACCCCACATCTTGAAGGCTGAGCTGCCCTAGGACAGGTCATACTCCCCAAAATGTCAGATACCTCCACCCCCTACCCTAGTCGGCATCAGGCCCTAGCCACACGCACCCCGACCTCATGCCCACATCCTTCCTGCCCCTGTTGCCAGAGCCACAGCCTCTCCTTCTCCCTCTAATCTCCTGCCTGACCCAGCCACCTCCCCAAGTCCTCCTGTCCCAGCTGCAGGTGCAGCCAACTCTACCCTCCCAGCTCTTGGCCTGCCCATTGCTGATGCCAACCAGCGCCCTCTGGGAGGTGGGGCTCGAATGTCACCCTATGTCCATCTGCTCCCCGACACACCCAACCCAGTGGGCTAGACATCACAAAATGGGACTGCCTTGTCAGCAGAAAGCTCTCTTGCCACAGGACACCTTAAATCCACAGAAACAAAACCATTCTCTTCCCAGACAGGGGAGGCCGAGTCCAAGAGCAGCACCTTCACTGAACCCCCCTCCCCCACCAGCCTGGCCTTCTCCCTGCTGCAGGGCCCTGGGCAAGAGGGAGTGAGCTCAGGGCGGGCCAGGCTCCCCCACCCCAGGCCTCTCCCGGAAGCGATGCAGAGAGGCTGATAAGGGGGCTGGCCAGGGCTGGCCGGGGCTGGGGACAACCACAGGGCAGGAAGACTCAGATGTAGCTGCCACAGCCCCACCCCACCATAGCCCTGGGGAGGCTGGAGAGGAGACAGGCCCTCACCTGCGGTCGCGCTGCTGTACAGTTCATTCTCCTCCATGCGGGGCCGGCTGCCCTTCCCCGTGGGCCCCAGCAGCTCCTTCCTCTGGCCCTGAGGAAGACGCCAGGCTCTCACTGCTGGCACCCACGCCCAGCCCCACCTCCAGCCCAGGCCTTCCTCCAGAGCACACTCTGCCTGCTGACCCTTTCCGCATTCTGGACTGGGGTCCCCCCCCCCCCACAAGGAACCGCCCCCAGCATCCTGACCTTGGCTCTTCTAACATCTGCCCACAGCAGGTACCAAGAGCCCCCCCCCAATACACATGCCATGCCCCCTTGCCCTTTCTGCACCCGTGGATGGCTCACAGGGAAGGCCAAGAGGCAGATGGCCTGGATCCAGTCACTGCGCTCTGAGGACGGGGCTGCTAGCTGATACTGGCGCTCCTTGGTCTCCAGGAAGAAGGCGCTGGTGTCCCGGGGGCTGCTGGCCTCCCCGCCGGCCTCAGCCACACGTAGGCAGTCACTGAGGCGGATCACCCTCCTGGCGGCCTCTCCCCGGCGTGGCTTCTCTGGGCCCTCCTGGAGCTCCAGCCGGGCCAGGGCGCAGTCTGACTCTCCATACAGCACAGCCCCAAACCGGCGCCATTTCTGAATCCAGGTGCGTGGCAGGTGGGGTACCGAGAGGGAGCCACCCAGAAACGGAGAGATGGTGACCAAAGGGGAGAGGAGGAGGCATGGGAGAGGTCATGGGGTAGCATTCAGGGACAGGGAGAGGGGCAAAGATCACAGGTGACCTAAGGGCTCAGAGAGAACAACAGGAACCTTAGCAAGGAGAAATCTTTGGAGATCTGTCCCCCACAACAAAGGAAGAGGCAGTGACAGCAGGTGGAATGCCAAAGGCAGAATGGCACAGTAGTGAGCCCCTGGAAGTGGGCCCAGCCAAGATCCGGGTCGAAGGGCAAAAATCCTATGAGTCCTTGAAGCCCGGAGGAGGGATGAGAGGGCAGCAGGAGGGCCCTGACCAGAGACCATGGTTCTTGCTCTATGCGAGGACCTACAGAAGGCCCCAGGCCAGGAACTTCAGTCCACCCTCTTGAACTTTCCTGCTTCATTCCTTGACAGGTTGGGTCATGAGAGAGAGACAGAGAAGCCCTGGTGTGAATCAGCTGAGGGAAGGAGGACTTCCTCATTTAAGGAGGCCAAAGAAGGAAAAAGAGGCTGGCCACAGAGACCCCAGCTCAAGCTTGCCACCAGCCAAACTCACCCCACTGGAGCAGGAAAGGGAAAAGGAACCTCCACTCTAACCCCGAATTATCCCCTCCATGGCTGCTTTCCTTCCCTTCCCTTCCCAAGCATCCCTGTGAGAAGTTACTACAGAGCCAAAGAGGCAAAAAATGGAGTCAGAGTCCTCCTTTACTCCCCTCCCCGCTGGCGAACACCACAACCGTCAGGGCAAACAGCACAGTTTGGGACCTGGTTGGGGAAGCAAGCGACTGCTAAGGAGAGACTCCCCCTAAGCTCGAGCTCTGGGTCTAACATGGTGGGTGGCACCCTGCCTACCTTCCCATAAGGGTTTGGAAATGTTCGGGGGCTCCTCCTTCTCCCCAGGAATTGCTAGCAGCCCCCCAGCCCCTCCGCCCTGTCCCAGTGTCGTCTTGCTCTTACCTTTCCAAAAGTCTGCTGCTGTAGAAGGTACAGGAAGCCCTGTTTCACGGCTACTTCTTCCATCCTCCCACCATGCCGGCACCCCAGCCCTTCAGCTCGCTCCCTCCACTCCCGCCCTCTTTTTCCCCTCCCTGCCGTGTGTTCCCCCTTCTCTTAAGTTCATTTCCTCTCTGCCTAGAGTTTTCTGCGCTGTTCTCGTCTGCTTGATGACGACAAACCGATAGGCCCTGTGGTTTCTTGCTGTGTGTGTGTGTGTGTGTGTGTGTGTGTGTGTGTGTTTGACGAGTGAGTTTCATGCACAAGCTTCCTGCATTTTCATTGAGTAAGAAAATTTCTGAAAAGCTAATTTTCCAGTTTTTCAGGCAGCAACAACTCAGGTACAGAAGCTGGTGGAGGACTCAGCAAACAAGGAATGGCTGACCTAAAGCCACAGAGAGTCCCAGAACCAAATTCAACAGTAAAACCAATAGCAAAAGGCCCTCATACTCCAGCAGGATGCTCAGCATGACCCAGCGGGAAGAGAACTTAGAAATCAACCAGACTAAGTCCCCAGTTCAAAAATGGAGACTGGGTAGACTGGGTAATTCAACAATGAGTAGATTGGGAGCTCCTGGGTGGCTCAGTCAGTTAAGGGTCTGACTCTTGATTTCGGCTCAGGTCATGATCTCGGGGTCTTTGGATGGTGCCCCAGGGTCATGGTCATCGGGCTCCACACTCAGCAGGGAACTTGTCCCTCTTCCTGTACCTCTCCGCCTACTGGCCCTCTCTCTCCCTAAAATAAGTAAATAAATGTTTTTAAAAATAAAATAAAATAAAAATGAGTAGACTGAGGCTCAGGAATATCTGAGGGATATGTTCAAGGTCACCAAACTGGAACCAGGTCTCTCAGCTCAGTAAGAGCTAAGCCATACATACACATACCCAGCATACTGGACACATCAGACAAAGCTCACTACTTTCACACACAGCTGCAACTCTGGTTCATTCCAAGAGGAGCACTCCCTGCCCCAGACAACTGCACACACGCACAGCACTTCTTGGAATTCTAGAAACATGGACATCCCCACACTGAAATGTGCTATATTCCCAGAGCACATCCAAACAGTAGGGAGTTCACCTTCTTTCCAGCCTTTGTAAGCATTATGAAGGCACTAGAGTTTCATCTGGGGATTATCTTTTTAAGTTGCAATAGCAACCTCTTATATTAAAAAAAAAGAATCAAAAAAGACTTCATAGTTGCCAAAAGTGCTCCTTTGTTACTGGAGCTTCTAAGCACACACTGTCACCAGCCAGACTATCTATCCCTGGAAGACGGGAATGCCAATATGAACCTACCTGTTTGCAACCCTCCTGAGGTCACAGGGCTGGTGGGGACAGGAGAAAGTACCAGGGCTTCTGGTTTTTAACTCAATGGTCTTTTTATTGCTGGTCCCTAAGCACAATCCAGACTTCATGCAAGAGGATACATTGCTTTGGGGAAATCTAAGTTCCCCAGAAAATATTTAACTTAGCGCCAGATGGTTTAGAGAAGCAATCTGGTGGAGGAATGGTGCAGAAATGTGGGGGAACCAGAGAATTAGACAAGCACTCTTGGGGTAACCCCATAATGGGTGCTTATATAACCGGGCCATTTCCTCTACCACAGGGGTTTGTTTGCCTTGGGAAGGAGAGCAGAGCAGAGCAGTATGCTGCTCAGGCCATCTGCTGTATATGCCGTGTGCTTTACCAAAACAGCTTTAAAAGATGAATGTTATGAGCTCTGGGAGGAGAGGGCTGAGTCACATAAAGCTCATGGCACTCAGCTCTGCTGCCTGGATTTGAACAGGTTGATCCAGAGATCAAGGGAAAACCAAGGATGCTGGTGGGTAAAAAGCTCCCTGGGAAGTGGTTAGGAGTATGGGAATGGGGCAGGGTCTGCTCTGTCTCTTTAGTCCTTTGGCCATCAGCATCTCCTTATAGAGTGAGAAGAAGAGAGCTTTACGGTCATCCTGGAGACTGCCAGAATGGTGCCTTTCCAACACTACTGTGCAGTTCCTGTTAAAACTGCAGATTCTGAATCAGCAGGTCTGGAGTGAGACCAGAGAGGCTGATAGTGCCGGCGGGTGGGCCAGACCTCGGTTGGAGAAGCAGAAAAATAGAAGATATCCCCCCACCCCCACGCATTACTCTTATCCCCTTTCCCTAAGGCAAATTGGACACATCCCACTCGGAACCACAGGGGGGCACCCAAGCTTACCAGATTACTTGAAAGCTACATCTACCCAGAGGCCTGGGCCCCAGGTATTCCAGACAACTACGTGCTATCCCTTACCTCTGGTAGCTGGGTAAATTCTATGCCTGCTGTCCGCAGATGGAACAGCAGGAACGTGTACCATGAACGACACACTTTAAGGGCCGCCCACTTTCCCTAGCTGACCTCGTGGGATCCCCGCAGTGGAAGTACAAACTCCAGTACCTTATGTCCGGCTACAGGTGAACCCTGTGAGCAGAGGTCCAGAAGACATAGCTGCAAGACACAGCAGAGGGGCAGAAAGTGAGAAGCCTTCGGGTTACCCATGTACTGATGATGAGAAGAGAAAGCATCGCATCCTAAAGGGAAGAGTCCCAGTGGGTTTATACTGAGGCACAAGTGGGGTTTGGAAAGCTCTTTGGTTTCTCTTTGCTTTTATCGGAAAGGAAGGGACCTGCGACACCTCACCTGTGCTTCAGCTTCAGGGGGTCCTCTCATTTACACTGATTTCTCTCAACCGGAGTTGAGGACCATGCACTTCAGAGAACACAGTCTTGGAACTTTTTGTTGTTATTCTCACCAGTGATTAGCAACTAAATCCTTAACACAAAAGGGCTTGTGAGCTTGTCTTTGGGGGCCATGAAGGAAGGAGCAGAGACTGTGTCTGATTCCTTGGGCAGGTCTGGCGATTAGGTGACCTCCAAGTGACAGATGGGGGGCAGCTACCCCAGGGGTAGTGCTGGGCACACAACAGAAAAGAAGTATATAATGGGCATGGAGCTGGTGTGGACCTGAGAAGGAAACTGAGGAAAGAGATATGTAACTTGGGGTCATGACAGATCCTCCCCTGCTTCCCCCCCCAGCCCAGTGGCTCCTGGCTGTGGAGGAGGGAGCACAGCAGTCTCTTGAGTTTTCCTCCTAGTCTCACCCTTTCTCCATTAAGTTATTGCACTTCTCTTAGTACAAGGAAGGAGAGCTGGAAACTCACTGAGAAGAAGGGCTTATAATAGAATGTAATAATTATGTTACTTAACATTGACATAACATTTCAAATGCTTTATGTTCTCGTAGGAACCCACACACATGCCATAGAGTGAGACAGAGATATAAATAAGTTAACCAACTCAGAAATTATTTATTGAGCATGTACTCGGTACAGGGGTACCAGGGACACAGCATAAACAAGACAGAAAGTGGTTACTTTCTGATTGGAGACCCTGACAATGAAAAGAGTATGCAAGTAAACAGCTTTGGACAGTGACCCATGCTGTAAGCACGGTGGGGATAGGGTCAGAGAATGCTCTCATAGAGTGGTGAGAAAAGCCTCTGAGGAGATAACAACTGAACTAAGAAGTCAATGACGCAGGGAACTAGTTACTTAACGATCTGGAAAAACGAACCAGGCAGAAGTGACACCGAATGCAAAGACCCTGAGACAAAAAAAAACTGCAAATGTGAGGAGTTGGAAGGAGGTCAGAATGACCAGTGCGTTGTTAACAAGATGGAACATGGTGGAGATAAGGTCAGATTTTGTGGCTTCTTGGGCCACAGCAAGGATTTGGAATGTATTCTAAATGCACCCGAAGGCCACTTAAGGATTTTTAAGCAGGGGTGCAATGATCTAATTTATGATTTTAAAACGTTCTGCAGCTATATGGAAAACAGATGATCACAGGGCAAGACAGGAAGCAGGGAAACTAGTTAGGAAAACTAGTTAGGGAAACTACCAGACCCCCACCCCCCAAATGTGATGTAGCTTGACCACGGTGTTAACTAGCAGTAGAAATGAAGAGAAGTGGCCAGATTCGTGTATGTATTAAATACAGATTAAATGGGGCTTGCAAGTGGATTGCATATAAGGGACGGCTGAGATGCTAGGAATCAAGATAACTCTTGGATTTTTAGCTGAGCAACTGGGTAAAAGGTGGTACTGTTTACTGATAAAGGGAGGATGGAGGGAGAACCAAGTGTGAGGAGAAGGATGGTGGGGGTGTAGACCGGGGCCTGGACCAGAGAGCTGTTACTCCCACCCAATCAGGCAAAAAAGGAATTGGAAGACTACCACTGCAATTGTGACTCCAAGAATATACCACTGCAGCTGCTATGCCCAGGTCAGGAAGCCCCTGACCCACCATCCCTGCTCAATACATTCAGGGAGCTTATGATTGAACACTGGAAGGTTGTTGGGAAAACAAAACACCGCACAACACAACATTCCAGGGGTTCGTTCGGTTTGCCAGAAGCAACAGTCAAAAGCTTCTGTTTCACTTCTGCCTCCAAAAATCTCCTCCCAGTAAACCTAATTGGCAGAGGCAATCTTGCATACAGAACCCTAGCTGCAAGGAAGTGTGGGTAATGTAGTTTTTAGGTGTTCTACCTCTGCAAACCAGAAGGAAACGCTAGGAGGACCCAGGTTGAAAACGAATGCTTAACACCAGTCCACTCTATCCACAACAGGAAATGATTCACTACCCCTTCATTTCCACTGCAGGTGGTAGCCCCCAGTCAATATAAACTTCAAACAACCAGTAATCTCAGAATCCAGCAAAAATTTAATCTGGGGGCCCTGACTGGAAGCAAGAGTGAAATCCAATGGAAAACAAAAACCAGCATTATCGAACACCGATAATTACTAGTGGAATAGATGGGAACTGGCCTCAGCCGGCAGGGACTGACCTGATCTGACCCAGGGGGTTGACTATCCCAGTCAGACTGAGCCCAGGGTTCCTAAAGCCCCTTTATCTCACCCCACCACCACCACTTTTCCCAGCAACTGACCCCTCTCAGGAGGCAGCCTATTATTAAGATATTATCTAGATTATTAAGATGATAATCTATTTGTGAAGATTGGAACTGTGCCTTCTGAGTGTTTCCATTGTCACCACTATTTGGCGGCTCTTCCCATGAATGTTTCTGGAGGAGAAAAGAACAGACATGAAAA